CTGCCTCTCTAAAGCTGGAGCCAGCTGTGTCCACCCCCTCCCCTGTCTGTCCTTCCAGTGAGCACCGGAGAAATAGAGAGAGGGAAGGGGGGAATCCCTCCAGGAACATTCACTGCTCTGTGCAGGGAGAAGACCATGAGCTGAACGGTCAGTGATTCATGATCACTCAGCTCTTGCTATAAGTATTGGGAAGAGTACATTTTACTCTTGCAATACTTCTCCTTTAAGCAAGTCAGCAATGCCAGTTCCTATATTTTTGGCATGGCAGGTTCCTTACAAATCAGATCTAGCATTAGATATATTTCCAGCCCAGTGGGTGATTAAACCTTCCATCACCTACCCAAAGGGGGCTAATAGTTTTGGGTTGTCTGACTCTAAACGTATCTTCATTAAGCATGATGATAGTTTTTAAAAAAAACAAACCATTTTTATACACTGACTTTTCCCAAACGGCTATATCAAAGTACAGATTGGAAAAGATCAAATAGTATCTGCTGTTTTGTTTTGTGCCAGTGGTCATACTAACAAATATCTAAGACACAGAGCAAGATTCTTAAAGCATTGCAGAGATCAAAGCTTGGTGGACAGAGTTCTCAGAACATGCAGAGGAGGGTTTCACTCCAGTTACTGTGAGTGCGGACAGACATGCTTTTAGTACATCATGTTTCTGTAGTGTGATAATCCATTTGGACCTTCAATGTGCCTGACATTATGTATCTGTCAAAAATTCAGCCCAAGTGTTCTTCTAGAGCCAATAAAAGCTGTTCTTCAGTATGTTTATTTTAATGACTTGCATCCAATTGATGTGTGTCAAAATCTGTTAATAAACTAAGGGCAGTAAAATGATTCATGAACACACTGTAAATGGAGCTGCGTCACTCACATTGTTTGGCTTGTTTATAGTAATAATCTCTGGTATGTAGCAGAATTATCTAATAGCCTAGGGCACTAGAGGTGGGGAACAGAGCTGTGGCTTAATGAACTACATATCTAACAGGGCTGTGGAATGATTAAAAAAGGCAGGGCTCACGGTATGTTGCAGTGCCGAAAGCAGATGAGGTTGAGGTTGGAACCTATTCCTAACCCCTCACATGACCCTATTACCCCGCACTTGAACTGTACTGTATATTCAGGCAAAAGTGTTTTTCCAGTTTTGCGTAGAGTTGGAAAGAGTGAGAAGCGCTGTCAGATTTTTACTGTTGTCTGTATCCCTTCTACGAAGATTCACCCTCCCTATTTGTCCTGATGATCGTCGTCATTGGAACAGAATGATATAGTAAATATACATTTTACAGTTGTCACTGGTACAGAAAGCGAAGGGACATTTTCCAGTGGGAGCAATGGGTTCTGGTAACCACTGTCTAATTTCCCCTCACTTTAGAGAGATATTCTCTCGCATCCTGTTGTGCCTCCTGGATAGGAAGCAAAGAGACATCTCCTCATTTGGATATAATCAGCCAAAAAAAAAACTGAAACGGGTTTGAACTATTACTTAATCTATTCAAGACAATACACACACACACACATATGTATGTTTATATATCAGTGATGTGCAGTACCTCTTCTTCCGCACCCCACCCCAGCATTCCCCAGCCTCGCCCCCAGCATGTCCTGTCCCGCCCCACTGATGACCAAAGCCCCGCCCCCTGTCAACTGAAACCCCGCCCAGACCCATCCCCAAGCTAGTGTAAAGGAAGAAGGGAGGAGACAGGGAGGAGCCTCCCTGTCCCTCACTTGCTCCTCACTGCTGAGGCGCTCTGTCCATGACAGGTTACACAGTGGGGAGGATTTCCCTGCTGTGTGACCTGTTAGATGCCAATCTGAATGGAGAAAATGCTGCCAGCTTCAGGCATGAAGCTGACAGCTTTTTCCTTCATAATTCTAGGTGAGGATCTGCCTCACCTGCCTCCCCTGACCGTACGTCCCAGTTGTATATTATACACACACTATAAATACACTGTAACCCTACCATTAAAGCTTAAAGCAAACAGGCAGATTGCATAGTAGCCCCCCTCTGCTGTTGATACTTACCATCCACTTTCATACTCTTCTCTTTCTAGTCACCCACTGGAACTTGTCCCAAAGCCCACTTAAGTTCTAAGTCAAGCCTGAGTCATATCTTACACAGAGCTGAGGAACCAACCTCTGCCTTCATTTGACAGCCAAAGCCTAGTTATTGGCCACCAAGCACTACATTGTGGGACCAGAGTTGGAGGGGACAATCACATTGCCTAGACGTACTGGGATATTTTTTTGGGTTCCACTGGACAAAAGAAGTGACATGGAGTCAAATTTTAACAGTTCTTCAAAATCTTACAGCACTGATACAAAATGATTGAAATATTTAGAGTAGCACTGGATAAAGTACACAACACCAGGCCTCATTGATTAAACTACATAAAGGGGAAATTAGACTATTCCCATAACAGCCTATCCGATTCTGGATCTGCATAATATATAATGGTTGCCATAGACAAGAGTACACTTTTTTGTTTTAGTTGTAAAAAAGGGGGTTAACTGATTGTTTTGGCCATCAATTTAAAATCAATACATTTTTTAACATTACAGTTCTCAAAACATGAACGATATCTGTAGACAAGACAGTTGATGGGTCACATTCCAAAGCAATGAAAATAAATATGTTTGATGATACAATGACAGTGAAAACAGATCAAAGCCTACATATGCCCTGTCCTGACTATGATGTTTTGCTTTGGATATACAGTATCAATCTTAAAATCAAAAAATGTTACATCAGTGTTACAGTGTTTATATTGGAGGATCCATGCAGTGATGGGTGGAGGAAAGAATCCTGTGGCATCTGTCAAGTAACTTGTAATACACAGCAGGGAAAGCAGCAGACTGGGATTGGTAATGCAGCTCTGTCCAGCTGGAGAGTGGCTCAGAGATCCTACTAGTTAAAATATGTTTAGAATACTGCAATGCAGACTATGCATTTCCAATTAGATAGTCATGTCACAGTCGCTGACAATTACAGTGTCTACCTAAGGACACAACTCATTTGTTTTTCATATCTGCCTGAATGTGTCATGACGAAAAGCTGGCGCGAATATCATTGAAACTTAAATAATGTCATACGTCTGAAAATGATTCCTTTGTATTGATAATTTAACCCTTCATGTTACGGATTACTAATTATTTTGCAGACCAGGAAACATAATGTGTGAAATATACCAGCAGTTTATGCTTATGTTTTTCAGTTGATGTATATGCACTAGATGAATAAAACCTATTTCCTTCCTTAGTTATAACAATAGCAAACAAAAAAAAACAGTTTGCAGTTACTTTGCTTTCTCTTAATTTGTGCAACTGAAGAATTATAGAGACTTCATGGTATCCTGTCAATTAGGTATAGAACCTATTCCTGTTGTCAACATTGGCAACATTTTTTTCAATCAGGATTCACACATCTTTCACACGAGATTCATGCACCATTGTAATTGAAGCTTAGGTGAAAATGTGAATCTTGGGTAAAAACATTGATAAATAGACTCTATTGCTGGTTGCTCCTCATGTTTCAAATATACATTTTGTATTATATTGCGGTTTGTGTACCCTTTCAGAGATTCCTCACTATGGCAGAACTGGAAGTGAAGACGTCCCCACTTCCTGCCTATTTGACAGGTGTCGGACTGAACAGGAAGTGAGGGAAAATCCTTCATTGGTGCACAGGCAGGCATTCAAAACAGCAAAACGTTTTCCTGATACACTCACAAGCTAGCATGTAAAAAAAACTTGTCTCACCACTAGGGTTAAAAACAGAGGTTTGGATACACATCTTCTGCAGAAAATGTGAAAGCCGCACAGCCGCGCCAAGGCACCTCTATATAGTGCAGTCCTAACTCTAAACTATGAGAGTCTCCATCTTGGAGCACATGGGTCAGAAGATAAAATTGGGTGCAGGTCTGGTCAGGAGGACATTCAAACACATTTTATAGTACAGTGGGAAAGGTGTTAGGAGTGGGAAAATCTGCAGCAGGGACAGTGAAAAATAAAAAGCTAGTAGGGGTTCTAGCCTTTCTCTACTCTACTTCTACAGTACATATATATATATATATATATATATATATATATATATTCAAACTATTGCGGCACCCGCACGGTACGAAAACGCACGTCCCGCAAAATAGTCCAAGCGCAATTTTATGGGCGGATTCCGCACATTATGGCAATAGTAATAGCCGCAAACATGCAGAATCCGCACGTATGTTAATGTATGCACGGTTTCATTCCATGCGGAAAACGCTACCGTTATGTGTGAATGGAGCCTTAGACTGAAATACCAGCTTTAAAATTCAATTGTATCTATTAATAGATTACCTGCATTCAGTAACAAGTCATTGTTGCCTGTGGAGTGTTCATTTACTTAAATATTGATGGTAAGCATGGCTTTGCTGTATATGTGCTCACCGTCATAAGTGAAAATATTGCTAAAGAAAAAGAAGCCAACTCTGTGGAACGAACTCAACTTGGCTTGATCTCTGTGGCCCACAGGGATCAGATTCAAACTTTCATTCATCAGCCGTAATTTTCCAGAGCAGGTTTGTGTCTGATTGGTGGCTGTTTAAGGAAGACCACATGTGTTCTTACATTTTCAGTGGCTGCTCTCAGGATTCCAGCATGTGACTGAATGATCCATACAATCCTTATATCCTTTGTAGCTGTGGAAGCCACCACATATAGCAAGACCTTTGTCAAGGCAAATGTTTGTTATATGGTTAGAGGTAACTATACTTTATCTCCCGCTTCCCTGAGCCTAGATGTTGACTCCTAGCCTATAATTTAGCTTAATCATCTACAGTTATTCTAGGTGTGAAGTTATGTAACCACTATGGAATCTGTCTGCTCTGTAGGGTGAGGCTGGGGACTAACTGTGCTATAATTGTACTGCATTGCTGTGTACTTCTCTCAGAAGGGTTATATATACAATGTTCCATGTTTTACTTTGTGAAAACTAAATCTTTGTCATTATTTTTCAGTGCCTGGGAATTTGGGATGCTTCAAAGACCATGGAAATCCACCTCCTTTGACTGGCATGAGTGAGACATCCAATAAACAGACAATTCAATCTTGCATTACCATGTGCCGGAGACAGAAATACAAGGTACAACTTTAAACTACATTTGAATGTATTTGCAATGTTTGTAATGTCTCCTTCCCTGAATGTTCTGGTATTTAAATTTTGTTTATCATAGAGATGATGCCAGGTTATGTAAATGTGTTCTTGTCCAAACACATTTTCAACTGGTGACTAACAAAATAATATTTCAGGGGACCTTACATACACTTGCTGTTTTAAACAACTATGTACAGCATGTGGAAATATATATTTTGAATACTTTTTAAGCTAAATTAGGCCCCATTCACACTAAGCGACATACCTGTTGCAGCGGATCCGCGCGGCCGGGATAGCACGATTTTCGGGGCGACGTTCCAGCGACGATAGCGCGACCTTCACCGTCGGGCTCCATTAAAAAATAGAAAAATCGTGCAAAATCGGCCGAAAAAAGGTCCCGCTGGAGTGACAGCGACGAGCGACGGGCGACATGGAGCTAAGACAGCTCAATTGAATAGCATTGGCCGGCGACTTCTCGCAATATCGCGTGGCGAAAATGCGCGATATCACGACGGAAATCGCGCACTAAATCGCTTAGTGTGAATGGGGCCTTAAAGGTATCTAAAAACAATTTCATTGTAGGGAGCACAGACGGGGCTCCCAGTTAAAGTGGAAATCCTATTTAGAAAAAAGTTATACCCAGATCACGCACACCTAACTATTTACATAATCTGAACATGCAGATTATACTCTGTATAAACTCTGTATAAACAAGCATTGTAGACAAATTAGTTTTCATAATTCACAACACAGATACTGAAATCTTTTTCCTATGAGAGCAGACCTTGGCAGGCTGCCAGCCCTACAAAAAAACAACAACAATGCATATAGTGCTTCTGGGGAAATTAGGCACCGCACCCCAAAATTGCAGACAAAAATGTAATGAATCTTTTTAGGTGTCATGGACATATCCAAAATTACAACACATAAGTAAAATCACCAAAGTGTATTCATATATACAAATAAAATTACAAAGACAGCCAATAATCAAATAATTCGGCAAATAGTTTGGAACTTGGTCTGATTAGGCCCCTTACTAATATGCCACCTCCCAATGCCACTCATAACATATATTGACACATATTAATGAATGTTTGTTTTAAAGTAGCCACTGCTCCAAGCTTGCTCCCGTGATGAACCACAATCTCACATTTAGTGTACTCACATTTGTATTGAGATTGTAGTCCATCACAGGAGTGAGCTTGGAGCGGTGACTACTTTACAACACACATAGGAACCATGGGGAACAAAAGTAGACACCCTCCAGAAGGAAGGACACTGTCTGCACCAATTCAGAGATGATTTGAGGATCTGCAGCTGAGTGATACACAAATAAGATACATTTTTGTTAATTGTTAAGGTACTTGAATGCATTTTTAAGATTTAACTCCTGAATTTTGTGTCACTTTAAGCAAATATGGCTAACTCCATGTTCATATGACATTACAAATTTACAGCATTAAAGGAGAACTATGAGGTGAGTGCTTTTCACTCACCTCATAGTTCTAGCCGACCTGTGACAATGAGTCTGTCACAGGTCGGCTCAGTAGATCGGGAGGTGAGCGAACACATACCAGCGTTCGCTCACCTTGCGATCCTGTCACGGCTCTCTGCCGTGACAGGGGAGGGGCTGGATTCCCCCCTCCTCCCTCCGATCCACCAGCGCTGACTGGCGGAACGGACGGGGGAGGGGGCGGGTACAGCTGGCTCTGCCTCTAGATAGGCAGAGCCAGGTGTCAGTCACGCAGCCGGGCGGATCCAGACATAATTGCCGGGATCCGCTTCAGCTGCGGCATCTCAGTATATACTGAGCCTAGGGTGACTGGAGGACGCTAGTTTGTATCCTCCCTTTACCCTAAGGAGAACTATGTGGACAAGCCTTAACCCCATAGTTCTCCTTTAATACACAGTTAATTGGTTATTTACTTCTGAATGAAAACACTGTATATTCCCTTTAATGGCAAAGAACACTTTAAAGAAATGCAGTATAATACAGAGGCTGCAATTCTACCTGAAGCTAGAATAGGGCAGGTGTAAAGATGACTGACAGTGTTATATTGTACATGTGTAAATCACAGCTCCCCAGAGGGAGTGGCCATGACATTTCAATTCACAGTACTCAGACCAGCCATATTTCATAGCCGTGTGCTTCGGTGAATGTTTGAAGTGATTTTTTACTAACGGCATAAATAAGCTGTCACAAAAATGATGGATGATATTCTAATTTCTAGGGTAGTTGTATTCTAGTTAAAAGGTAAGGATTGCTGTCATAGTTAAAGAAATATTTGTAATAAATTGTTTTGCTCTTTTGTTCTTGTTTCAATAGGAGCATTGCAAAACTGGGCTGAAGCTTTAATAGTCCAACCAGTTCTAACTTTTTCAAATTTTCTTAGAGGGCCACATATTTTCTACAATCATTTGTTATTCTGATAAATCTCTGCCTCCTACTGTGTTTATTATATGCCTTTACTCAAAGCAAAACTGAAATTAAAAAAGTGAAGATTTTTGTCTATAATTTTTCCTTAAAAATTAGTAGTATACCTTGTATTATGTAAGGGTGCCTAGGCACTCCTGCACCTATAGCCTCATAGCTGTATATCTGCAGTGTAAGATCTAAGCCACTTCTGCCTCTGGCTGCTGGTTTTGGGAGATTTGGAGTGAGATTAGGCGATGTCATTACTTTACTGCTCACTGTTCACCATACTGGAGGCTCTAACCTGAGGACATAATGGCGTACTACTTCCAAAATGGTCACTTCCACACAGAGACATAACGCAGAATAAGGCATTGTAAGTCAGGATCAGCTGCTAAACACCACAGACAATATTTATTACTAGTGTGTTGCCCTTTGCCTGCTTTTTTTGGTACAGCTTACACAACTAGGTTTCTCTTTAAAGTGGGACTTGTATTTTGTTTTATACATTTTTAAAAGGTCCGTTTTATAAACTGCTATCATAAGCAAAATGTCACTGCATAGTCTTACCTGCTTCTATCCTGTAGAGACTGCAGGAGGCCAATGAAAAAACTAACCAAAACCACATGGTAAATGGGATCGCTAGCCTGCATTTACATTTGTAACGATCACCCTCCAAGACACAGTGCTGTGAATTTATGAGGGCCTACAGCTGTTCCATACTAGCTGTTCTTATCCACAAACAGAGGAAGGGTCAGAAAAAGGGATGAGCTTCTGGTCAACAGTCAGTTCGATCCTAACTCTAGCTGTTCATGGTTTGCCAAACAGGCAAACTATATGGCCACATTTGGCAAGTTCACCTGCCTGAATCTCCAACTACTTTAACTGGAAGAAAGGTAAACAAACAGGCAGGAACTGACCATATATCATTTGGACTTGAAGCGCAACTGTCAATGAAATGTAAACAGAAGTTCCAAGGTACTATCATTTCCAACAGGAGTCCAGCAAAAAAAGGAATGACATGGCGCCCATCATTGTGTTTGTGTCAGTGAATCTTTGGGAATTTTTTATTATAGTGTGCAGCAAAAACAAAGCTGTGATCCACTCATGCACCGTCACCCTCATATGGATTCAAGCTCACCCTTTAGAGTGGACCTTCATGAATAAATATGGTCAAATATAGTTATCAAGGGGCTCATGCTCCTCCTCATAACGCCTCCACATCCTTAGGCTCATTGATAAATCACATGGGAAAAATATAAAAAGGAACCATAGCGCTCTCCATCATTAAAATAGAAAAGATAAAGCTTGCATAAAAAGTGCACCATCATCTTTGCACTGGAATCAGCATGTATGGTATCATATAAAAGCTCCGACCTAAGGCAGATGTAAAACCTCTCAAACTGTAATGGCGTCAATTAACCCCTTCGTGACGGGAGACGTACACTGTACGTCCAGCCACAAAGGGACCAAATGACTCGTCACGTACACTGTACGTGACGAGTTATTTGCTGCACTAGAAGGCTGCTAACCGCTGAGAATCAGCGGTTACCTTTCAGTAATAGATGTCTAACTATCTAGAGATCCATTACTGAAAGGGTTAACCTTTTTCAGACACCCGATACCTTAATATCGGGTGTCTGAGAGTCACAGCAAAGCAGACACACATGTCGGCTTTTGCCGGCATTCTGACAGCTCGTATAGATCGAGAGATATCTCTCTCAAGCTATACTGGCTTTTTTTTTTTTTATCTTTTGACTTTCAAGAATAGATACAAAATGTTATGTATTAGACACATAATGTATCTATTCTTGAAAGTAGAATGTTTAAGTTTTCTGAAACATTCACTGACAGCTGAATCCTGAACTGCTGCAGGATCAGTGTCACTAACTTATTATCGGCTGTTCTGAAGTTTGAAGCAGCCTGATAATAAAAAAAATTTATTAATTTATCAAGCAGTAATAGTGAGATTAATTCACAATGACTGCCTGATATAATTAAATAAATAAAATTTGTCAGTATAAAAAAAGTGAAAAGTGTAAATAAATTAAAAAAAATAGAAAAAAGTGTAAAAAAATTAAAAATAAGGGACAAATAAATGAATGTATGTATTGCTTTTTTTTTAGCTGTGCTGGTTTTGTTAAAAAAAAATACTACAAATCAAAACTGGGAAAAAAAGTTTTTTTTTACGTTTTTTCCTCTTTTTTTAATTTGTATTTGTCCTAAGTGAGGCGTTAGACACACATATGTGATATAAATATATAGCCCTATCTGTCCTCTAAAAAACAATATATAATATGTGTGGGTGCACTTTGTAAGAAAGTATATTACTGACGTGGAAGAATCACACAGCAAAAATGTCAAAAGTGTGTCAGTCATTTACGCACAGAAACCAAAAACAAGCTCAGTCATGAAGGGGTTAACTCCACCTATCATAGCGACAAGTGTGTCGACATCACTAGACCCTGCTCTTTTTTATGCATTGTGTCTACTGGCCCCAGATGAAGTTAGAAAAAAGGGTACCGTCTAGTGACATCAGTGCTCTTGCTGGTGCATTGGCTGAATCTGCTTAAATTTTAGCTGTCCAAGACCAGCTTAGAGCCCATTTCCACCTTTGCGGAGGTATTTTTAAAAAACATGCTAGCAATGTAAATTGAGTATACATGAAGCAGGCATATGCAGTCGCTGTATATGAACACAGAAACTTACGGGTTTTTTCACTTTCCTCTTCCTATCTCCTAAGGCTCAACAATTATGTAGCGCTGCAAAGCAGGAAGTCTGTGTATTTAATGAGCAAATATATAGATCCTCCCATATAGATGTATAATTACATATTTTTGAAACATTAGCACAATAATGTATACAATAATTTACAATGTACAGTATTGAGATCCAAGAAATGGAGCACTCACACGTTTCTCAAAAAGCTGATGGAACAAGGCCAGCCACCGCCTGTTTCACAAGTACACTTTGAAAACGCATTTTGTACATGTAAAATGCCCATTGGCTGGGCCTTTTCTGCTAGCCTTTATATTTGCAGTCTTTCTGCAATAAAAACTGAAGTGTTTCAGAGGACTGCCAGTGTCATTAATAGCCTGTTTAGGTTATATACCCACACACTCCCTATTGAACTTTATGAACACCCTGGAAGGGTGTCTTTGAGTCTTTCCGGTTGGATGTTTCCTTTGGAGTGCCCTGAAAATGCGGAAAGATCTTCACTTTGTACATGATGCAAACTAGAGAAAAAATTATTCAACCTACTAAGTGGTTGGATGACAGCCCAGACACAACATCCTGTGGGAGATATTTAAACTGTATGTGTAAATAGTAAAATATCTAAATTGTATTTAATAATGCCTCTATTAAATCACGGCAGTTATGGAATGAGAATGCATTACATTTACACTTTTGGTGTGTTTAGCAGATTGAATGAACACAACCTTTGCTTTGCTGCAGCCCACTGACATCCTATTGTCCGGCGGTTCTGCTGCCGTCAAAAAAGAAAGAAAAAAAAAACTCTCTTGGGCGCTCTGGGAGTCTCCCGCTCCCGGCCGCCCAGGAGAGAAACACTGCTTTTTCTTTATTTTTCTTTATTCTGACACGGAGCGATGTCAGGAAAAAAAAAAAAATCCCATTGAAATGCATTGCTACATTCCTATTGGCTATTTCAATTTGCAATAGCCAATAGTAATCTAGCATTGTACCCGCCCTCTGCTGATGGACCTGATGGAGAACTGCAGCAGAGGGCGGGTACAATGCTAGTTTACTATTGGCTATTGCAAATTGAAATAGCCAATAGGAATGTAGCAATGCATTTCAATGGTATTTTTTTTTTTTCTATTCTGACACGGCTCCGTGTCAGAATAAAGAAAAAAAAAGAAACAGCAGTGTTTCTCTCCTTGGGGCCGGGAGCAGGCGACTCCCGGGGCGCCAGGGAGAGTTTGCTGTTTGGAGATCAGTGTCCCTGGTTAGCAGGTAACCAGGGACGCTGATCTCTCTGCAAGTGGCCGGAGCCAGCCGTAAGATCACGGCTGGCTCCGCCCAGCTGTCAGAAGCAGGCCGCTCGGCCAGCTTCGGCTTTCAGCACGGCTCAGCCGAGCCGATGCATATGCGTTCGGCTCGACTGAGCCGCTCGCCCACGTTCGGGAGCTGTACGGGCTATTGTGAATAGCCTGTACAGCACCCCTTCGGTTCTACTGCACCGAAGGGGTCCTGGGGCCGAAGCTAGCCGAAGGATGGGCCGAAGCTACGGCTAGATCCTTCGGCAGCTTCGTGAATAGACCCCTTAGTTTGATCAGCAACAAATATGCACAACACATGTCTGCATTAATGCTATTACAATAAAATAACATTTTAGCTTCTTTTCCATCCTAGCTGTTTTTAGATCAGACATTTTATTTCTAATACTGTTATACTTTTCATAAACAGCCATGGTGAAAAGGTAGTGCAGGACATTATGCTTATATTTCTTGATTCTCTTTTAGTTTGCTGGATTGGAGTCAGGATTTGCGTGCTTTTGTGGAAATAACGCAGACTACAGAAAACATGGAGAGACACCAAGCACCGACTGTAACAGCGTCTGTTTTGGAGATCACACACAACCATGCGGAGGAGATGGCCGAATTATCCTGTTTGATTGTAAGTTCTTTTTTTTTGTTTTTGATTTTGTTTATGAACGGTCACATGTGAGAAGTTTGGCAGAGATATAAGGTGAAACTTATGACTCCATGTTATTGTCCATGGTTTTGAAATGGGGGGTCCAACAAGCTCATATAGGTGTGATGTTCAGGTGTCCACAACTTTTTGGCCATATAGGATATCTCTTTCAGTACATGTCATTTAAGCTTGAGTAAAATACTTTAAAACGCTGTCGTCAGACCATTTTAACAAAAACATTTCCATAAGATCTTTGTGTATTTAATGTATTTTACGTATGTTACTTTCCTGCAAAAGTAGCCATCCAAAAGCCCCGAGACTGCGGCTCGGCAGCACTATTTTGGATGTGATGTCAACAGCCCCAGCAGATTCAAATGACATTCTACAATATTCCTCTTCACATCTCCCGCTGACGGCTACATACAAAATGATACAGGGAGGCAGAGAGAAGGACAGAGGAGTTGGGACAACACAGGGATTGGGGGGAGGGGGGGTGGCTGTGCTAAGGAATTGACTGTTGCACATTGCAAGGGCATACAAACCATTTATCACAAGTAAAAAAATATTGTATAAAAGCATTGAAAATACTTGCTTTTTTTGCGCTTTCACCCGCATTTGTGAAATTGGTAACAGAACCTTCTTTAGGAAATAGTGAAGTGAGGTAAATCAACATCCACAATGTCTTGTTACCTGTGAGATTCCGAAACTAGTAAAAATGCTACAAAGTTCTGAATTGACACCTTTATAAAGTATATAGTAAGTATGTATTATGTAATAGTTATTGTTTTTTGTCATGGGAGAGGAGCATAGGTGCAGCTCAAAATGGACGGTCCAAATACATGCCACAGAGCATAGGAACTCTGCCCCATATATATTCCCTCTGATTAGCCATCACAGGTCACACATGGGGCAGCATCATTTTGCTGGTTATAAGCATGTTCCCGGTGTAGCTGTGCCTGGAGGATTTTCTTATTGCATCACATCTCCACCTAGAACACTGCTTGTTCCTACACCACCTGGCACAACCTGGGAGGTCTGGGGACAACCTGAATAGAAGCCAATCAGCAGGATCTCTATTTTGTGATTAGTGTCAAGGCCGGTTCACCTGGCTTCTTTTATGTATTATATGCTTTGAACTAACGATAGGCTTTGAACAGATGGTGAAGTGATCACTTTGAGAGAGGATACCATACAATATAAACCATATTAAAATGTATAAATATACTTCAAAGTTCTTATCACATTTGTTCCTTAAATGTTTATTTTTATTTTATTAAACATGTTCTTGCTCCATCTTAGTTTAGCATATTTTAACAGCCATTCTAAACATTGACTCAGTTGTATATTTATATTCAGTAGAAGTGTTTCAGAAACGTACTTGAAGTGTGTGCGGATTAGAACATACTTCCTCCAGTGCCTATCTCAGTTTACCTTCTTGTGAGTGTCTGTGATTATGTACGTATTGCTGTGCAGTGGGAGGGAGATGGTCTGCAGCAGAAGGGTTCATGGCTGTAATGTTCTTAAAGGACATCTAAACCCAAGAACAAACATTTACTACATTGCAGCTTGTCAGTTCTTCGATGTAGTGGTTACATCAATAGTCTTTTTTTCAGACAAAGAACATTTTCAGTAAGTACAGAAAAAATATCTGGCAATCCTGCCAGAAATGCAGTGTCATTGTAACTTCCTGTGAGCTGACCTGAAAGCACAAACAATGTTATGTTACTTCTGTAAACTACTAATCCCACCATGTATTCGAGGTAAAGACAGAAATACTTGTTTGAATACCTGCGTGGGTGACAACAGTGGATACAGTGGAGTAAATTAGCGTACCCACTCAGGGACAGGAAGTGTGTTATTCTCAGGACCTCAGGGCAAAATAAAGGAAACAAAGCCTGAAAAAAAAAACTAATGCAGCCACTACATCTAGGGACTGATGAGATGCAGTATATTACATTTTTGTTTTGAGGTTTAGTTATACTTTGAAGTGTATCTATACTTTTTTGTTTTGGATAAAGAAGAAAAGGGTCAAGATCCCTGCCAGAATTTTGCTCTCTGTGTACAACAGGGGAGAAGCTAAGAGGGAATCACCCAAAGTGAGAGGAATTCCCTTCTTCGACAATTGTCCTCAAAATAGGTGTCACCATTAGAAGATTTTACCCTCACTTCTTGTTCCGGGAACAACTTTAAAATTCTGGATTAATTCTCACTTTTTTCTCTGTGACAATGGTCCCCAGTACAAATACAGAGGTGAATCTCCTTTAGTGGGGACACAGACAGCAACCAAATCATGACAAAGAGCCAAACCCTTCCCCACTCTATCCAAAACAAAAACAAAATATTGACTAGACATGCACTGTAAGTTTCATTTAGGAAAGGTCCAATGGTAATCATTTCATCCTGTAGAGTGGCCTTTCCATAATATCTTGTTGCACATATGCTATTCGTTTACTGCACCCATATTTACTTCCCCTTCAGCTTCTACTTTGTTTATCATTGTAGTAACTTTTATATTTACATTTACAATGCTGCATTGCATCCTTTGGTGCACTGCAGTGGCATTCATTCTGCATGGCAACCCAAGCACCTTAGCAATGGATGTGCATTGCAGAACAGCTCAAAGTGTAGTTGCAGTATGGTATGCTGCCAAAAATGCTACATACACATTTTATGGTGCACTTTGATGCATAAGACACACCTAAAAGGTGTAAAAGTCTTTTTTAGTTTTGGATGGAATGGTGAAAAGCCATTTTTAGCCATCTGAGTTACTTTAACATTACACTAAACTTAGGAGTTAAATCCTAAAAATGTATTCAAGTACCTTAACTATTAACAAAAATGTATCTTATTTGTGTATCACTCGGCTGTAGATCCTCAAATCATCTCTGAATTGGTGCTGACACTGTCCTTCCTTCTGGAGGGTGGCTACTTTTGTTCCCCATGGTCCCTGTGTGTGTTGTAAAGTAGACCGCATTCTAAGCTCAGTCTTCCAATGGACTGCAATCTCAATACAAATAAGTAAACTAGTAGTAGTTGCAGAGGCGGCTCTTTAATTAGGCAAATTAGGCGGTCGCCTTAGGCCTCACGCTCCCAAGTTGTAATCCATAACAAAGTGAGCTTGGAGCAGTGGCTACTTTACAACACACACAGGGACCATGGAGAACAAACGTAGCCACCCTCCAGAAGAAAGGACAATGTCAGCACCAATTCAGAGATGATTGAGGATCTAGTTTTGTTAATAGTTAAGGTATTTGAATGTATTGTTAAGATTTAGTTTAGTGTCACTTTAAATAGAAGTTTAAACTAGTGAGTTTAGTGTCACTTTAAATAGAATTGCCTTCACTTCTTTTCCACATAAAAATGTAAGAGGAAATCACTCCAAAAGGCAAATCACCCCTTAGACAATTGTCACAGAAAAAAAAGTATCCTTGGAAGATTCCCCCTTCTATTTCTGTTCCGGTGACAACTCTATATTGGATTTCTCATCACTGTCAGTCCCAGTGACAATGGTCACTAAGACACAGTGAGAGGGCCAACCTACTCAGCTGGAACACAGACATCATTTAAAACCTGACAGAGGTTCTAACCCTCCTCCATCAAGTCAACCACAAAGCAAAGCCTCATTAGATAAACCACAAATACACATTTTAGATAAAATAAGCTTTGCAAAGGAACATTTTTATTTTACTCTGTGTAATGGTCATTTTTCAAGCTGTGTTAGACATAACTGAATTCATCCATTTGCTGTCATTTCCGGAAGCAAATCATAACATACACTTTTATACAGGGAATAAATCAGTAGTGGAAAACCCCGCACTGCACAGAACTCTGTCTGTTTTTGAATTTACATTTAGCTGTAAGGTTTACTCAGATATGTACTTACCTGTCTAGACATTGAGAGTGCCTTGCGTCAAGCACCAAGGGAGTGGCAAGAAAGCACAGACAACCCTACTCATCATACAAATATAAGACATGGAGGACAGAAGCAAACTACCATTTGTCCTTTAGGTCTGCTGCCACTGTAGCTCAGAGTGCTAAGTAAATGAAAACTCTACATTTCAGTTTTTTTCTGTTAAAGTGACATTAAAGGCTAATTTTTTCCCCTCCCCCCAATGTTAGTGTAAGGACTTACCTTAAATCATGCCTCTTAATCTGATCATCTTCTTCTTTAGTGTAGTTTTCAAATGTCCCTCCAGCACTGGTGCGGGTCTCTGATCCAGCGCTGACTCTTTCCTCCTCTTCTCGCATGTCCCACAGAGTCTGTGCGGGTGCACGCTGCTCCATAGACTTACCTTGTGTCTCTCCTCGTCTCCCGGCCGAACATCTAAACTGCGCATGCAGTTCCTTTTCGGATACATTTTCAGATGGGAGCGTGCAGCGGAGACATAGGTAAGTATTAACCCTTTGAAAAAGTTTTTTTTTTTTCAATTGTTTTGCATATATCTACTGCTTGCTAGCAATAGATATATGCAAAAACCTGTGAGGGTTTATTAATCCTTTAAGTCAATATACACTACATTAGCCTCACAATGGGTCATCGCTAAACTCCAGTGTCCTAGTGCATTGGTGTCTACAACCTCTAAACTCATCCATTCTACCTGTTTTTACTTTGTACCCCATGGGTACTGCCACCCCCACCATTACCTACCTACATTTTTGCATTGCAGCCTTATACCAATTATTACCGCATATGTCCCATCTTTTTGTGTTTACACAAACTTACCCTGAATGTAGAAAAAGGCGGAATGTTAGTTCTGTGACTAGCCAGCCATTTGGAAAGTTATAATTACATCCGTTTCCACCCATTCATCTATTCACAGTTGCTGTTCAGCAATTGCAACACAAGTTATATTAGGCTTGTTGCTAGATGTCTGAATTCACAAAATACTGCCTGTTCTGCTCAGAAAGGCCTGCTTTTCTTTACAAATCAATGGGACATTCTTAGTCATCTTCCTTTTCGCTCATTGTAGTTGAGCTTTCAG